ATATATATATATATATATATATATATATATATATATATATATATATATATATATATATATATATATATATATATATATATATATATATATATATATATATATATATATATATATATATATATATATATATATATATATATATATATATATATATATATATATATATATATATATATATATATATATATATATATATATATATATATATATATATATATATATATATATATATATATATATATATATATATATATATATATATATATATATATATATATATATATATATATATATATATATATATATATATATATATATATATATATATATATATATATATATATATATATATATATATATATATATATATATATATATATATATATATATATATATATATATATATATTACATTTACAGTTTCATTTCTCATAAATACAATTTTATTTCTAATGTTTAGGCTTAACAAAAGTGTTTGACGTTATCTATAATGCTACTTTTCATATCTCAATTACATATTTACTTTATACATCAAAACACTACAAAATTACCAAACAACATCAACAGTTGCCGCTTTTTTGTAGTAACTTTTGGTAAACTTTTTATTTATTTATTTTATTTTATTATTTTTTTTGTTTTATTGTTTTTTTTATTTCATTTTTCTTTTCTTCTTATTTTGTTTTGTTTTTGTTTTTGTTATTTTATTTTTATTTTGTTTTATTATTGTTTTTATTTTGTTTTATTTTATTATTTTTTACATTATTTTCGTTTTATTTTATTTTCTTTTTCTTTTATTATTTGTTTTCTTTTATTTTTTGGTTTATTGTTATTATTATTTTATTTTAATTTCTTTTATGTTGTTTTATTTATTTATTTTTGTTTTGTTCATATTTTTTCTTTTTATTTATTTAATTTTTTATTTGGATTTGTTTTATTATTATTATTATTATTATTATTTTCTTTTTGTTTTGTTTTGTTGTCATTATTTTCTTTTTTGTGATATTTTTATTTCATTTTAAAATTGCAATTATATGTATGGTGTTTTGTATTACTTTTTTATGATTTTTTTTTCTATATTCAATTATCATTTCAAGCTTACTTTTTTTTTATTCAGGATGCTGTGTTATATCTGTTCTGGGCAGATCTTAGTGTGTCCAGTTTATAACATTACAGTTTTTTTTTTTTTTTTTTCCTCAGGGAGGAGCTGGAAATAAAGGAGAGAAGGGATCCACTGGAGATCAGGTAAGGGATGACTGACACCTGTCAATCAATTACTACAGGGTGTCCACGGGGTCTGAAAATGTCTAAAAACGTCTTTAATTTCAAAAACAAAACTGTAAAAACAAAATTGTAATTTCAAAAACAAAATTGTAAACAAAATAGAGTCTTAAATTCACTGACATATTGGGTTGTAAGTCCTAAATCATTTTAAACAGGTCTTGATTTTCCTATGTCCATGGAAATCTACCCTATAGAGCTGACACCACATAACTAACAATTAATTTCAAAACTTTTATTTGTCACATTTAAGTTTTTATTGCAAAGAGATTCAATTTACAACAGCTGTTAGACAGTTTTACAGCAAATTCTCCATATTAAATTCCCTAATCTGCCAAAGAAAACTAAAGCAACACATCCCACATACACGATCTTAATACAATAGTTAGTACAATCACTATTTACAGAAGAAACCAGGCCATTAGAAAAAAAAATCATTGTGTTTAGCCCTGTATGTCTAAAATTTTATTCATAATGGTCTTAAAGGGGTCTTAAAAAGTCTTGAAGAAACCTATTTTATGTACCTATTTTATGTACTATTTTGTTAGATGTGAACAAACCTCTAATGTTAAGTGGAGTTTGCGCAACAGACATAAATGATTTGTCAAATGGTTTGTCAGGTGTTTTTGCAGCACTCAGAACATGTTCAGAAAATGTAATAATCCAGTCTAGTCTGTCATTATGAGGTATGGGACGATGTCAGCACCCTTGTTTTAGTTTGATGCATTGGAATAACTTGGACGGGGCCCAAACTAGTCATTGTCACTAAGTACTGTCAGATCCCGAACCCTACAGAGGGAATATTTTTATGCAGGGCAGACTAATAACTCAAACAGATGTCATCGCGCTGATGCAGACTCCATATTTCCTGTTTTGTGGAGGCGTTGCGCAGTCTGAACAGCCTTACAACAGTTTCACACAGCACAGAATTGCCATCATTTCCCAGTCTGTCTGACGCTTCACCTACAGAGGGGTTTTAAGATAAATTAGACTTTTTTTTAAACAAACCTAGTTAACCCTACAGGTCAGAAATGATCTGTGCAGAAATGCTTAAGTAATTAATTAATCTTAAGTAAAAATGCTGGTTATCAAATACAGAAAATATGGATTTTTTTTGTAACAACCGCACGGTTCATTGATACAGAAAGTATCAGATTATACTTTTGCGATGATGGTTTTTCATTTGAACTGAAATGGCCTTGATTTCAAAATAAATATGTACAAACTCATCTACCATCTGTTCTATTTCCTAAATTCCTGACCTGAAACAGCAGGCTCTGCATATAGTGTATATCGCACATGTTTTTCTGGAGCTCATCATGTTACACTTATTTTATCAGCTGGTTTCCTGCTGTCTGTGGTCCATTAAAAACAAAACACTACTGTCTAGACCAGGGGTGCCCAAACCTTTTTGTATGAAGGGCCAAAAACCAAATATCTTTAAAAAAAGCCAAAACTTTTTTACATTAAATTTGCAATGGGTAATTTCCTAATTTATTACCTAATATTTAAAAATAAATAGAAGACTTTACCTTTAATAGTATTACCTTATATATATATATATATATATATATATATATATATATATATATATATATATATATATATATATATATATATATATATATATATATATATATATATATATATATATATATATATATATATATATAGATATATATATATATATATATATATATATATATATATATATATATATATATATATATATATATATATATATATATATATATATATATATATATATATATATATATATATATATATATATATATATATATATATATATAAAAATTACACACATTTTTTTACAAGAATTATGCCCAAAATATTTAGTTGTTGTTTTAGGAAATAATACTAAATATTTTAGCTTATTTATTTATTTGCTTTTTTGTTTTGTTAAGTTTTTTGTTTTATTTATTTATTTTTATTTTATTTTATTTATTTATTTATTTTATGTGAATTATGCCCAAAATATATTAGTGGTTGTTTTACAAAACAATACTTCATATTTTCGTTTATTTATTTATTTGCTTTTTTGTTTTGTTTTTTGTTTTATTTATTCATTTTATTTTATTTTATTTATTTTATGAGAATTATGCCCAAAATATCTAGGGGTTGTTTTAGGAAACAATACTTAACATTTTAGTTTGTTTTCAGTATTTGCTTTTTTGTTTTATTTATTTTATTTTACCAGTCAACCTTTGCACTTAATTGATGAAATAATTAAACGTGCTCTTATTAATGCTTTGACCATTTCTAATGGCTAATTTCTTGCTGTAACTTGCTGTAAAGTGTATTAATTGTGCCTATAAATACAGAAAAGGACAACTTTTTGTACGTACAGTAATATTAAGAGTACTTCAAGATGAAATTAGCCATTAGAAATTGTAAATTTGGAAGCATTAACATAGCATTTAATTATTGCATCAACTATGTACAAAAGTTGTCTATTTGAATATATTTAAAATTGCAGTTCATGTGATTTCAAAGCTGAATTTAAGTAATCATTCTAATATTGCTGCTAAAGAAACCTTTTTTATTTATAAAGTGCTGATAACAGTATTTTTATAGGAAACTTTATTTTCATGATTATACATTTCAAAAAGACAGCATTTGTGCAAAGTATATCTCTTGTGTAACATCGAGCATGTCTTTATTCTCACTCTCTGATGTTATTTAGGGTGAGCGGGGTGCAGATGGGTTTCCAGGGAAACCAGGTCTTCCAGGAAAAGAAGTAAGTGTTCTGATAGTTCTGAAATGTATATAATTTGTCATGTACCATTTTCCTCAGCATGCAGTTGCACTGGGGGGGCAGAAGATTTTATTGTGAGCTGATTTCAGGTATTGCTAAGTGACTCTTTTTTTTTTTTTGTAAAATCAGGGGGTTAGAGGGCTGATTGGTGCTCCTGGTCCAAATGGAGTAAAAGGAGAAAAGGTAGAGTTGTGCAATTTATTATCTAATTTTATTATTTTATTTCATATTTTCTTTTCTTTTATTTTTTGTTTCATTATTTTTATTTTGTTTTATCTTTTATTCTATTTTAATACATTTATTTGATTTATATATTTTTTTTTTGTTTTATTGTTTGTGTTTTATATTTTTTCTTTTATCTTATTTAGTTTTATTTTATTGCATTTTGTTTTGCTATTTTTTATTTTATTGTCAAATAACATGCAAATGGTCAATACAGGCAGGCAGCAGACAACGTAAACAAACTAACAAGGCTAGGGTAAAAACCAAGGCAGGACAAGGCAAGAAAAAGCATCATAATGTTAACTTGACAGATTAACAAGTCTTTGATAACTCTCCGGCTGTGTGTATGCAATCAGTCAGGATCAGGAACCGGTGTGAGTGTGTGTGGTGCATGACTGGACCTTGTAGTCCATCAGCGATCTGCAACCACTAAAACGCTGATCATCATAACAATTTTATATTTTATTTTATTTCATTTTGAGAATGTTTAGGGTTTGGTTTAGAAAAGAATGCTTAATTTATTGCAGTGTGTTTTGATCTGGTACCTGGTTTAGGCTTGTCATGAACAAAAAATAATATGCAATTAAACAGCCAGTAGAGGGCAACAATTTAATTAGTGGTTCATTGAATCATTTACTCAAACGATTAGTTTGTAGCTTCTGATTCTTTTACAAACAAATCCACTGACCGTCTCCATGAATGGATCATTGAATCTTGAAATATTTTTGTTAAAAATCTGATTAATTAAAAAATATTTTTATAGGGAAAAGGCTAATTTTTGTGTCAGTCAAAACTGCAATCTATTACATTTCATCAACTGTGAATACATTTAGACTTTCAAAATGTGTTTTTAGTTGTCTTTTGCATAATTCGGGATGAAATCTCTCAGTCGACGCGGAATATTCTGGATGTGTCAGGCGAAAATGCTTTGTATTAATCATTTTGAGATTTATTAAATCATATAACGTATATTTTTTCATTTAAATACTTTTAATTAAAAATTAAACTCAATAGCTATAAAATGTACATACATTAATAACACAATTTCACCAGCGTTTCCATGACAACATGTATCGTAAGCAGCAGGAACTAGTATACTACATAGAAATGTTGGAGCGTTATTTAAGCAGCCTTTGAGCTGTTTTTCACTTACTCCCCAAAACCAAATATGGATGACAATTTTCAGCAGCTGGAAATTTGTTTAATCTCTATTATAATGTCAGTGGAAACAATAAATATTATATTTTTACAATATCATTGCAGGTTATAAATATCCCACATTCTAATAAGGAGACACATTTTGTGGAGATGATGGTTGCTTGGCTTTTGTTGTTCCTGTTATTAACTTTCACGTTGCTCTAAATCCATTTAACTGAATTTTATTTATTTTAATATTATTATTAACTTTATTTTATTGAATGTCTCTTATTGCATTTCTTAGATAATTGAAGAAGGAGCCAGATATATTTGACTCTTTTTTTTCCCCACATCAAAACCTCAAACCACATATATCTTCTTTGGAAAATTACAGTTTTGTTTCTTATGCCGGTGTTTCTCACACTCATTTACAAAAATCACCCAAATTGCAACCAAACTATGTCATTTGAGCTCTTGTCTGCTGTCTTTCACACACATTTCCAAATACTAGCTTGTCAGAACTTGCCGAACGGATCATTTTACTCCAATTGAACTCCACTCAAAATATTAAATCACAGTTGGAGCTTTAGTAATGTCCTTGTTAAAATGTCTAAAAGAAACTCCAGTATTCTCTATGTTAAACTTTCAAAATGTGGTTTAATACATGCTGTGTTGGTTTGACAGGGTGCACAAGGTCCTGCCGGAATACCTGGTGATGCGGTGAGATGTTTGATTGGTTAAATCAAGGAATCACATTCTATAACCGCTGTATTGACTTGCTCAAAACTTTTCATTTGTGTTTCTCCACAGATTCAGTTGGCAGGACTCAAGGGGGAGACTGTGAGTGTTCAGTCAGTTGGGAAGATGAGTCTATTTTAGCTTCTTCAGAGAAGTTTTTAAACCATAAATGTATTTTCAGGGAGCCCAAGGAGAAGCGGGACTTCCAGGAGTGGACGGACTCCCTGGACCTCCTGTAAGATTCATTTTGTGATTTGAGATGTTATTTCAAAACAGATTTTTCTATGTGCAGTATTTTTTACAGTATATCCTATAATATTTTATCTTCAGAAGAAAGTTTTGTTTTATTTTAACTAGAATAAAAGCAGTTTTTATTTTTTTAATCACCATTTTAAGATCAATATTATTAGCCTCTTTAATCAGTATTTTTTTTCTCGAAAATCTACAGAACAAACCGTTGTTATGCAATAACTTGCCTACTTACCCTAACCTGCCTAGTTAACCTAATTAGCCTAGTTAAGTCTTTAAATGTCACTTTAAGCTGTATGGAAGTGTCTTAAAAAATATCTAGTCAAATATTATTTACTGTGATCATGGCAAAGATAAAACAAATGAGTTATTAGAAATGAGTTATTAAAACTATCGTGTTTAGAAAAAAAATATTCGCTCCGTTAAACAGAAATTGGGGAAAAATATACAAGGGGGCTAATAATTCTGACTGATTATGCTCAAATCTTTTCATTTGTGTTTTTTTACCACTGGTATATGCTTACTATAAATCAGTACACCCCTCACAGGTCTCTCTTTTAAATTAATATTTTCTATAGGATGCCTTACAATAATATATTTGTGTATATAGTACATTATTAGTCAGTACCAAATATCATAATATTTAATAATTAATAACAATATTAATATTTAGTAAAAAATATTGTTGTAAAGTTTTATTGTTTATTTACTTTTGTTTAAATGCATCAAAATATATTTAAATATAATTTTTATGACATTAAATTGTATTTGTGCATTTATTTGCACTTGTTATTAAGGTAATTTCTGTTTAAATTAAATTAAATTAAACTAAATTAAATTAAATTAAATTAAATTAAAATAAATTAAATTAAATTAAATTAAATTAAATTAAATTAAATTAAATTAAATTAAATTAAATTAAATTAAAAAGAGGACGTTTTGTGGCATGTTTTTAGTGGTAGGCACAGACAGGTTTCCTTGTTTTAATGTGAATGAGTGGGCTGGGAGATTTTTTTTTACATTATTTTGTAGAAAAAACTTATAATTTAAAAAGGTTTAGAATAAATATGTTTTTGGACATGAAATAAATCTAATTAGACATAGAAAATGCATTGTTATAAAAAAATTAATACATTTTAGCCATTTTTTATATGTTGTGGAAGGTATATCTTAAAATGTAATTTGTTTTAAAAAGTTTTATAGTTATTTACTAAAGAGCAAAAGTATGTCTGATTCACATATTTTAATTTGAGCTCAATGGACTGTATGCACAGCAAGAGTTTTAAATCCGACGATAAACTTCCGGTGAAAGCTTAATGTGACTATTATTAATTTCACAAGGTTGTTTTCACAGCTTCGATGCTGTAATGTAATCACAATGCATTCAGTTAAATAGACATATGCTTTCATTTAGTTGTTCAAGCGTAAACCTGAGGTTAAATAAACTGTCATATTTAATAGACATGGCAGGGGGAAATGGAATTTAATGCAGTGCTTCTTGTCTGATCTGAGACCTACTTCATATTGTATATTTAACAGGCAGTGAAGATCACTCATTTTTTAAGATTTCAGATCTTAAACGTGACAGTTTTGTAATGAAAAGACAGTTCACCGGAAGCCCTTGGGTTGCCTGGCTGAAAATTAAAAGTCTGTGTGCATGTAGCCCATTGGCTAAATACATATAGATCCTGAAATATAGGATTTATCCTGATTTAATGCTGTTTAAATGTAGTGTTTTAAAATTAATAAGTTCTGAGAAGTATTTTAAAATAATTACATTTAATTCAATGGCAATCATACTTTAAAAATGGAGCTCAAATATATACTTGAATCACAATGCTCATCATGTTATGTTCCTGTCTTCCATTGTTGTTCACTTCATTGTTTTTAATCAGCCTATTGTTGATGCTGTTTTTTTTTTCTTCCACAGGGTCCTCCTGGACCTCCAGGTTTGCCTGGTGAGACGGGTGACACTGGACCAAGGGTAAGACATTTGTAATTTTTATTATTGTTGTAACAATCCAGCTCGGCTGATTTTAATAGCTATGTAAGATGCTCTATAACCTGCTCTGTGGTCACTATAGAGACTGTGAGGATCTCAGTGCGGTTTGGTTCGTGTGTCTGGTGTTTCTGAGCTCAGATTAAAGCAAGGAGCCCATTAAGAAAAGAGATAGGAGATGTTCAGACGCCCTCAGACTGATAAAACCGCAACATCATTAAAATGCTCATTCTCCGACTTCTTGGAAAACACTGTTTCTTCCCAGAAATAATAGTGCTTTTATATATATATATATATATATATATATATATATATATATATATATATATATATATATATATATAAAACATAGGAAAGATAAAACAAGTAGGAGAAGGTTTGTGTGTATCGAGATAAATTTGGCCGACAGCTAGCTCTCTGAAACTCTCACAGGAGTTTTGTGTATGATAACTTAAATATTATTTACAGTAACATCAGATGCCTGTCATGATCCCAGGTGCTTCAGATACTAGAGAGCATTTGTTTGGTCACGATTGATTTAAAAACTGAAGTATGAGGTGACGTGAAAAAACAAAACGTTGATCAATTTAAGTGACAAACTGCAAGCTTTGTATGTTTATATCAGGTTTATATCTTCTAAACGTGAATGTTGTCAGTGTTTTGCAGTGCACTAGATTATAGGCATAGATATTTACATTAGATGTTGTCTACCCGGTTGTTGTCTATTAGAAGGAATGAGTCAATAGAGCCACCATTTTAGTACAGGGTAGTGCTCCTTTGAAATGAATGCGGAACCAAGGTGCAGTGGAGGACTGTGGCCATCCAGAGCCAGAGATATATACACATATACACATATATCTATGATCTGGAGTTTTCCTGGAGGTCAGTATGCAATTTTTTTTTTTTTTAATTACGAAAATTATAATTTTACATCACTTTTCTACATTGATGGATGAGTGACCGAACAAGCATTGCCAAAGAGTGTGTGTTTATGTGCATGTAAATGTATTATCCTCCCTCTCTGTTAAATTTGATCTAATCCATGTCCTGAAACACACCTTCTCTCCTGCTTTCACATCTCATTGTTATGGAGGGAGCGATTCGTTTGTGAATGAATCTCCGTTATAAACGACTCTTTCACTAACGTTAGCCGACAATAATACAAGATTCTGGCACCACAGCATCTTGTTGTCATATTTCATTTACGCTGTTTGCTTATTTTATTCAATAAAACTAGCATAAGCCTGGAATTTAGTAAAAGTTGGTGCTCCTTTGCGCTATGGTCAGTGCAGTGACTATTATCATCAATAATGTTGTTTGTTGGGCACAAAAGTTCATAACATACAAGAATGTAAAAAAAAAAAAAAATCTTACCTATGAAATGTTCTGCCTTTGTGCTTTGTTTTCTTTGTTTGTCCATTACTACACCCATACTCAGCATCTTCGCATTGGTAGTCTTGACTGGTGCAGTTGTTTGTCCTGGGAGCACTGTACAAATGTGGCGTCGCTTTTGACGCATGCTCAGGGTCCCTATGTGTTATCTAGTGTATATCTATGGCTTATAAACACTAACAATACTAATACTAGCATCTAAAAACCTTTATTGGAATTTTATTGCACTTTAAAGTTATATCAAGATTTCAACAATTCAGTACGACAAGAGTCACCCTGACTACTTTTTATCCTCGCGTGTGTGAGAGTTTTTAGGTGCAGTTGCTGGATGTCTTTGTTGTAGCTCGGCAGGGCCGCAGGGTTTCAAGTGCAGTCCGACTTTCTCTGTCTCAGCGGGAAACAGCAGCTCTCGGTGAGGGAATGTAACTCAGAAACGCTGCGGGTCGTGCTTGAGTGAGTGTAGAATGACGCACAACTGCTGAACGGCAGGAGTCTGACGCTAAAAGAGGTTTTCTGTCTCTTCCACCCTTCCTTTTAAAGCTGTTATCAGTGAAATTCCGTCAGACTGCCTGCACATGTCATATGCAGCAGCAGCAGCAGGGGATGCTAAAGTGTTAGCACGCACTGCTACATCAGTGAAATTAAATATGAAAGTGGGGGAGAGTTTTACCACCCATTGCTCTCTTAAATAAAATGGCCGCTTTATTCGCTTTATTTCACGTCTAAAAGTTTTGAGGCCATATGTGCTCGGTTTCGCTATTTGAAAATGACAGGTAGCATATCACTGTCTTCGATATATTTGTTAGTAATTATTATAATGGTTCCACTTTATATTAAGTGTCCTTAACTACTATGTACTTACATCAAAAAAATAAATACAATGTACTTACTGTGTTTATAATGTATTTGAGAACACTTGTGGTGCTTTTGAGTTGGGATAGAGGTTGGGTTATGGACAGGTTTGGTGGTATGGGTAGGTTTAAGGGTGGGTTAAGGTTTAAGGGATGGTCAACAGTGTATTTACAAATGTAATTACAAAAGTTAATTACAGATGTAATTTCATACATGTATTTAATCAACATAAGTACACAGTAAATACATGTATTTACACAATAAGTACATTGCAACAAACTATTAATTTCTATGTAAGTACATATTAGTTAAGGCCACTTAATATAAAGTGGGACCATTATAATTATGTTTATAATATATTTCCCCATATTTGTAATGCTAACATTCTGTTTCAGATGGAAATATATCAAAATAGGTTGATATTCTTGTTTTTTGAAGTTTTTAATTTTTGTATTTAATTCCGTCATCGTGCTTATTTTCAGTGAACGGTGTGATTTTGCTGTTTGTCCAGCAGAGGGAAGCACAACCTTTGCCATATGCCTGTAGTAGAAGCTTCATTGGGATAGAATTTCTCTCATACAATTCTGCATTTTTTCTTTTAGAAAATTTGATAAGAACTGTTATAAATTATAGAAATGTACACTTAAAAATACAGTGAAATTATAAAGTAAGGTCAATGTTACAAATAAAATAAACTAAGTGTAAAAGACATAGTTGAATTGGAAAAAAAAAGTGTAGAGGAGAGAAAGGCACAAAGTAACACTTTTTGGTTTTGGCCAAATAATGAACAATGTAATGGGGTTAGACAAACCTTATTTATTTATTTTTTTACCAGCAACACACAAGCCTCTCCTACAAATGAGCTCTGAAAGTTTGATCACCGGGTTTCTGTGCAGTATTGCCAATAGTGCCTGGAGTAAAATGTTACTATTTACCGCACCTGCAGGGCAAGTTGTAACAGACAGGGGGTTAGTTGTAACACATGCTTTAAAAGTCAGATTTCACACAATAAATTTAAATTCAGTTTACTTTAAATAGTGTATTTCCTTAGTACACTGCAATGCTTTTCTTGCTTAGATTTTTTTATCTTGTTTCTAGTCTAAATATCTAAAATTTCTTATATCAAGAAGCATTTTCTAGACAAGCAAAGCATATTGTCTTGTTTTGAAAAAATAATATTCCAATATTAAGTGAAATTTTCCTTAAAACAAGCAAAATAATCTGCCAATGGGGTAAGCAAATTAATCTTGTTTTTTCTTTTGATGTAAGATTATTTTGCTTACCCCGTTGGCAGATTATTTTGCTTGCTTTAAGGAAAAACTAGCTTAATATTGGCATAATATTTCTCAAAACAAGACAATAGGTTTTGCTTGTCTACAAAAGTTTTAGATATTTGGACTAGAAACAAGACAAAAAAATCTAAGAAAAGCATTTTTTGCAGTGTAGTATTTTTCATTCTACACAGCACAGTATGTTTATTTGCTTATCTATTGATTACATGTGGATTTATTTGCATTAAAATCCATTATTATACAATGCATTTATTTGCAATATTAGCTATAAAATATATTTTTTTCTATTAAAAAAATTATATATATAAAAAATTCTCAACATTACACTCAAGCTCAAAATTCAGCAATTATTATGTTTGTTTAATTGGTGTCCAACAATGTGTACCTTTATTGTTACAACTAATCCCGCTGTGTCGTGGTTTCCTCAAAACTGACTAGCAGTCACTGTGTGCTTCTTACATCCTTTAAAATGGTTTCATCTTTTAGTCAAGGAAACGGTAATCACAACAATATAAGATGTTACGTTCATACTTTCATAGATTTTTTCAAAATAAAAAAAATATTGAGTATAATAAAAAATACTTTTATATATATATATATATATATATATATATATATATATATATATATATATATATACACACACAAATTTCGCCAAACTTTTATAATAATTGGCAGGAAGACATCTGCCAACACTGAGGTGAAAACCTCACAAGCATGCCATGGTTAACCCTGAGCAACTACCTTAAAACTCTGTGTTACATTTTACCCTGTGTTACTTTGTGCCCCATGCTCCCCTATTTGTAAGTTATTTAATATAATATTTATAATCATTTAGAGATTATTTTATGTAACACCTCCTTTATTGTCTCCTTATTTAATTTGATGCATGTTCCACTGATTTCATACAGTTGTTTTATACATATAATTCTATATAATACAATATGATATAATCAGTATTTAATATAATGTATTATTATAATACAGTATAATAAATCTATTTTGTACAATGTAATTTTTACTCATTTGTTTACATTTGGTACATTTCAGTCTTTTTTCTTGTTAGTATCCACTTAAAATTGTGGTTTATTGTAACTTTGATTGCATTTGAGCAATTCTAGCGTTATGGATGTGACATTTGCAGCAAAAACTCAAAACATAAATTCACACAGAAAGCATATGTTAATATTATAATGAAACTTTTGTTTCAATAAGAACAACTGATTACAGAGTTCAGGGACCAGAAAAATATCCATCTGTGAACATGTTTTGTACTTTAAATGAGGGAAAAAAGGCGTTCTGGATGTGACAAAAAAAAGTCTGCGGGTTTACAGCATACAACATACTTTGTAGAAATTCTGTGAATTTAACTGCACAACCCAAAAGAAATAATGCATATCAAATAGATAAGAGTTGACTCACTATAAACCAAAAACAATTTTATTTAATATTTTCACATTTATGAGGAAAAACTGTTGTTATAGATGTGACATCTCTCTGTTATGGATGTGACGGATGTGAAATAGCCACTTGTGTGACTTTGGTAAATTAAACATAATAGTTTGAAAACATTTCATCATCTTGGAATTATAAGGTGCTATCTATGTTCTGAATGGTTTTGAGATATTGAGCTTCAAAGTTTTTTTATTCCATATAGCAAACAGTATGTGTGTAACATTTGTTTTTTGTTATCCCAATGTAATTATTAATCCATAATGTAAATAAGTTGTCAATTAATAAGAATATGTCAATAACTCAATTTTGACAAAAATGTCAGATAGAACCTTACAATTCTAAGGTGACGAGACAGATGCATTTTTGAGTATTTCTAAAGTACTGTAAAATTCTTGCTTACACAAAAAAAAATAAGAAATGGTTTCTGTATTTTGATGAAAACTTTTTTTTTATGGCAAGGTTTACATTTGCACGGATAAATATATTTCTATTAAATATATTTTTTTCTTATCTAATGAGATAATATGTTTTCTCTGTTTCTCCAGGGTAAAAAAGGTGATGCAGGATTGCCAGGAGTTGATGGTCTCCCGGGACCACCTGTAAGAACTAACATCACATTCATATACCTTAAACTTACCCTATGCAGCAGTAAATTTATTGACAAATAGCGTTTCTCTTGCTCATTTCATACATTATAAATGAACTTACTCTAGGCAGTAAACATGCTTAATTTGATTTGTTTGTTATTATTGTTTTTTAATTGAGTATTTTAATATGGTGAAAATCTGGGGGAGAACAAAATGTGTTTAGAGTAACCGGGACCTCTAGTGGTGGTTATTAAAGGAATGAAAATCAGTCCTAATACAAGGAGTAGTTCACGTTCAGTATGTAAATTGATAGATATTTACTCAGTCCTTGTCATCCAATATATTTACTTCTTTTATGTGCAGCTGAATTTTGTTGTTAAGTTTTCTAAGGTGCTTAATGGTTTAAACAGTCATTGGTTTAAACTTCCAAATGGTTTCAGTGGTAATTCATAAGATCCCTGAAAGATCACATCTGAGAAATAAGGGTCTTAACTGTGTTTTTTCTTAATAAAACTTTAAATGTATATACTTTTTAACCACAAACATTTGTATTTCAGAGCTGGTGTGTTGTTTCTCCGAGTGTGAACCTCTATCGATCATCAATTTGGAAGTTTAAACCACTGAGCACCATAGAAGTTATTACAGTTTATGGAGAAAAATCATGTAATGCTTTCCTCAGAAAAGGGATTTTATTTTTACGAAGTAAAAACAATGAACATCTTGAATGGCAAGAAGTAAATGATCAGGAAATTTGTATTTGTCAGTGAACTAATCCGTTAAAAGACAAAAAAAAAACATGCATACAAATCATATCAATAATAATATGTTATTATGAATTTGTTGTAAGTGAATAAGGTTCATGTAATGTCTCGTTTCCACTGACTGGTACAGTACGGTACGGTTTGGGTCGGTACTGGTCACCTTTATCAGGCTTGCGTTTCCACTAGCAAGGGTACCCTTTTTGGTGGGCGTGGTGTAAGACAGAGTTTCAGTCGCATCATTCTCGCTCGAGGAAATGTCTAAAATAAAGCTGTATGGGTCGCTCACATATCATATGAGAAGCACTTCTCACAAAACAGATGCTTTACACGCATAAATACTTCTGTATAAATATTTATTACTAACTTTTTTATGAACAGGAGTTTATTATAACTGCAGATCAATGACGGTGCGAAATAGCCTACCGTAACGTCTGTAATTATATAAAATAAATAAATAAATAAACATATATGAACACATACACCGCCTTACAGTCTCCGATATGTTACCAACTACAAAAAAACTACACACAGCAGACATTAGCCCCTTTCACACATACAGAACTTTCCGGAAAATTACCGGCAATTTTCCGGAAAGGTTGTATGTATGAACAGGCTCTTTTTGAAAATACCGGTAAATTCGTTCTGGCTATTTTCCGGAAAGAGAAATTGTAACATTACCGGTAATTTGCCGGAATGCTGCGTTGTGTGAATGCAGAAGGAAGATTGCCGGAAAGAGCGCGTCCACGTCTAGAATGTGCTGATGTGAGACACCTGCTTTAGCCAATCAGAACAGTCAGACGCATTTTTCCAGACACCTTTTTTAAAAGGCTAGATGTTAGTCAGATAATGTTTCTGTTCCTTCCTAATGTTAACTGTGTAAATAATTATCGATAAAATGTTTATGATAATCCGTTGTTTGTTTACCTTCAAGCTTTGCGTGTGCCCATGAGCGCCCTTAGCGCCAGCACACACACATATCATGAACATCTCGACATGCGAAAGTGTTCCTCTATATGTTTTCATTGGAGTTATACTCAATACTGATCCATCCAAAGAGTTTGTAATGTAGTCAAATGTTTACAAACACAAGCGCAGCCTTTTAGAGGTCATTTCTGGTTAATGATGTCAGAATTTACAGCCATTTTGGGAGGGATGTGTGAATGCTCTTTTCCGGAAAAATTTCGTAATGTCCTCGCCTGTGTGAACAGCGCTTTTTTGAACTTACCGGTAAAGTTGTTCCGGAAATTTTCCGGATATTTACCGGTATCACTGTGTGAAAGGGGCTATTTAGTGCTTATTTAGGTTCAAAACAACACAAAATATAGCCTACAGTCAGTGAAAACCTCTTATCTGTGTCTGTAATATTCAGCAGCACGTGTAGCCTCTGTTAGAGAGTCATTCCGTCATTCTGAGTTCATAATAGTCCGAAAGGTGATGATTAAAAAATAAAACCTGGCAGTGTGTTCACGTTTGCTGAAGAAATAACGTGCTCCTTTTTTCCGGCTTCTCCCTTTTTTCGCGCTTCACTCTAGCGTTTGTCAGTGTCTAACAGGATCGGGTTTTCGAAAGCACGTCAATAATCAAGCGCACAGTATTATCTTCAGTTTAAGAAGTTTGTTATTTTCAGATATAGACGTGCTGCGAGCGCAAGCAAGGATGCGAAACCGCTCGCACTTCAGACAGGCTCGTAAAAAACTACGAGGCACAGGGTAGATTCTGCTCTACTCCATGGCTTTATGGCTGTTCATCAAGACGACGACAAGGTTTATTTGAGCTCGGATCGACCATGGCTTGTTATTATATGTATATATAATTCCGCTGTAATCTCTCGCTGTGTATTTCAAACATGGTGGGTCCTTTGTTTACATTCTGGCTTGTTGCGTAAGCGAATGACGTATCTCTGTAAACCAATAGCGTTCAGCTGCACGTCTGTAACCCTTTCTCATGTTTGGTACCCTTTCGAAAGGTTATCAAAAAGGTGGTACTGTACGGTTCGGTACGCCTTTTGACAGTGGAAACAGCCATAAAAGCGTACCAAACCGAAGCGTACTGTTACATACCACTCAGTAGAACCGGGCCATAAAATGAATTTTTTTGTATTAGTCTTTGTAAGGAGTATTTATCATGCTGTTATGCAAGCAAACTTTCAGATGCAAGTTCTGTATTGTATTGTATTAATGTTAATCACCACATAATATTGTTACATTTCAGTATGCTCCACAGCTAGACCGACACAATATTGGAAAATCTGACATTATAAAATGTGTATTGTGATATGAATATGACTGTATAGTCTTCATTGGTCATTGTTTGTCACAATATTGACCACAGTAAGCTTTTGAACATCCTTTTTTAGGGTCCTCAAGGGCCTCCTGGAGTTTCTGGCAGCCCAGGACAGACAGGACCTCCGGTAAGTTTACATACACCAATCCAAAATAATCAATCTTTTTTATTTTTTAATTTGCAAGCTACTAGAGCCAAAGAATAACAGCGCTTTAAATAAAATCCCGCTCTTTGTCCTCGCAGGGATTACCTGGTGAAATCGGATTCTCAGGAAAACCAGGAGAATCAGGAAAACCAGTGAGGATTTTTGTTCTCCCGCAGCCCTCAAGCATGCTGTCCAGAGATTTCCACAATCTTGTTTCCCCATTAACTGAACACTTGTTTTTGTGCAGAAAAACTTGATATAATGGTCTTAATGCTAATTCTTTTTCAGGGTTCGCCAGGGAAAGATGGAGCGGACGGTTTCCCTGGAAACGACGGCGAGAAGGTTAGAGCGGTTTTAATGAGGAAACTGTGAACTCAGTTACTTCAGGCAGAACTTCATCATTCATACAGCCCGCTAAAGGCCAGATCTGCTTTTCGACCTTTTCGTTTGGGTTTCTGTCGCATTGCGCTCTTCGTTTTAATCATGTCCTATTTTTTGTTTAGGGACAAAAAGGAGAATCTGGACAGGATGGCTTCCCTGGTAAACCTGGACCGAAGGTAAATAATGTGAATTTGTGTTGTGAAGTACCGCTATTATGCTGCTTTAACACATTTTATTTTAGGATCTCCTACACTAATATAGCATCCATCCAAAGTTGCCAAACAAAACTTTACAAATTTATATATGCTGCATTTGATATCACTTACTTCCATACTATATAGTATGCTAAAAACAGTATGTGAGCCGAGTAGTATGTCAGAATTCATAGTATTCAAAAACAGTTTGCGACAAGTACCCGGATGAACTACTATTTCCAGTAAGATTCTGAAGTGCGCATCTGGTGGATGCTATGCTATCCAATTCATTAATAACAGTGTAGCAATGCAACTGATGTGGGTCGGTTACGTGATTATGACAAATGGCAGATGTTGTACGTCCAGTTCCATTCATACTACTGATATTCATACTGTATTGAATGTACTTTTCTAATATTCATGTAGTAAATTCTCATTCAAATGTAGTACCTACTGAGTAGTAGGCGATTTCGGACGCAGCCAAAAGATTTTTTTGATGGATCCAATGTCCTTCTCTTTCCCAAGAGTCTACTCTGATTTCATTGGTCAGATTATGGCCTAGTTTGCTGTGATTGGACTATCACTTACATCTGGTTTTAGGGATGTGCGCTGTAACTGGGGTTGCTTAATTGTGGGAAAATCATAATCATGATTATATTGGTCATAATTGTAATCATGAAATAGTGTACTGTCGCTTTAAGAGCCACACAGTTCTGTTTATGTTTTCACTTTCGAATGCTGTTTCATTGTGTTTGCTTGAGAAAGCCAACATACTGTTATACTACTCTGTTCTGCCAACATACTATTTACTACTCTCACCCCTATACTCTTTACGATGAGTGCCACATCTCATCCGAAAGACAGTGCTCACTGACAGTATAGCATTCTTTCACTTTACTGGGGCATTAGGACTCACACAGACCACAGGTTAAGCGCCCCCTGCTGGCCTCGCATCCAGGTACTGACCAATCTCAGCCTTGATTAGCTTCAGTGAATAACCGGTCTTGAGCTGCAGGGTGGTGATATGGCTTTGACCCTAAGATGACTTAATGGTGTGTGTGTGTGTGTTCTGTTGGTCTTTAAGGCTGAGCACATACACACAAAAGCATGTGTTTTCTTTTGCGGTCTTAAAAACATAAATGTATCAACTACACAATAATAAATGAAGCGTTTTTCCAAAAAGATTTACCAAATTGACCAATTTTCTGAAGAGGATCAAATGCATACCTCTGGAAAGGGGCGGGATATGACGCGATAATCACTTTATCTAATGATCGTTGGAAGCCAGAATCAAAATTCAAACTGAATTTAGATTAATTGCACTGATTTTGTTAGTGTTTACGTGAAAATTTTGTAATTTACTAGTCTAGCAACACTCCAGACATTAAAAATAAATAAATAAATAAACAACAGTATGCCTTACCAACATACAATCAAACATGCTGTTTTAAAGACATGTAAGACTGGCAAATTAAGAAAAAATATTAAAAGCAATTATGGATTGACTGATTATGATTGGTAACTCATCAGCTGGAGAAACTGTCCCTTCAACATCTGGACTATAGATTCTTTTTTGTCACTAATGCCACTTTGTTCTTTCTCTTAGGGAGATGAAGGCCCACCAGGACCCCGAGGACCTCCTGGTGAACGGGTAAGGAAAGTAAAACTTAAAAAGAAAGTTTTGGAAAATCTTTGACAGAAGGACATGTCGAACTCTTGTTTTGTTTTCAGGGAGAGTCTGGTTTGACCGGGCAGGTCGGCCCAATGGGACCCAAAGGAGAGAGAGGGAACCACGTAAGACTGAATAATAAGGACAATTGTTTGAGAGAATCAAAATCTCTCTCTTGTTTTAATGTTTTGAAGTCAGAATCAGATGGTTCATTGATTTACACAATCCATAAACATTGATTTGTAAAAACATAAAGCACTACTGCACACAAAAAAAAACACTCCTACTGTTAGAACCTATATCTGTTTAATGGTGGACTGTATTTTCTGCTGCAAAGTTTGGTAGAAAAAATAGAAAAGGTACATGTACGTGATATAATTTGAAGTCATATTAATGCAATTATGTTCAGATCTTCGTTCCTTTATTTTTCTTGTAGGGAGAGAGAGGAAGAGAAGGACTCAGTGGTGCAAAAGGAGAGAAAGGAGACAAGGTGAGGAAGACCAGAAAGCTAAACAATTATATGAACTAAGAGATAAACACTCAAAATAGATTAATGTTGTTTAAAAACTGTTTAAACCATTAAGTTTAATAAAAAAAGGCTTCTGCTTAAATGTTTGACATGTTTTTAAGGACGTTCAATTTATTAAAAACATTTATAATGTTCAGCTTTTTCCATTTTGGTATATTTTTAATTAAGTTGTCCTTGTTACACATGCACTGTAAAAACGGATTAGTTACTTTAATAACTGAGTAAATCCATTGTAACTCGAAACCGTTAAGGTGACAGGTTTACTCACTTTAGGTAAAAAAAAAAAAAAACATGTTAAAAGCAATAGGTTTACTCACCCTTTTTAAGTTAAGCAACTTCTGTTTTCTGTGTTCTTACTATAGTATTTGCAATTAATATTTGCATGCAACTAACTAGGGGTGTAACGGATCGCGACCCACAGTTCCAAACGCACATATTTAACTTTTTTATCCATGTAGATTAATCCAACATTTGTGATGATCAAGGAGAGATCACCCTGCTTCATTCAGATCACGTGTGTGAAAGCATTTCAACTTTCCTGTAAAATATAACGATGATAGAAGAATTTGTGGTGGCACCTAAAGGCTTCTTAGGTTATTAAAGGTGTTTTCTGGCATTAATTATTCATCCTGAATTAATGCATTCAGTGTACATTCATTCATTCATTTTCATAAACACTCATTCACACTCATACACTACGGACAATTTGGCCTACCCAATTTACCTGCACCGCATGTTTTTGAACTGTGGGGGAAACCGGAGCACCCGAAGGAAACCCACGTGAACACGGGGAGAACATGCAAACTCCACAAAGAAACGGCAACTAAGCCGAGGCTCAAACCAGCGACCCAGCGACCTTCTTGCTGTGAGGCAACAGCACTACCTACTGCGCCATCGCGTTGTCTATTCAGTGTACAATAAATCATTAAAAGTTTGGGATCTCAAATCAAAACACCATGCAACATATATTACAAATGATGATAATAAGCATATGTTTATTAATCTTTCAACTGCTCTGCATTCAAATCTGCATTTAATCGAGAAAGAGATTCAGTTTTACCCTTTTCAGTTAGTTAAACATATAAAAACATATAAAATAAATACTGGGATATCGATTTATGGTTAAGGTATAAACACTGATGTTTATGGTAAAGATTAAAATCACAGTTTAATCACCAACATATGCCTTTAACTTGACGCTCAAAATGAGATGTAGCAATTGCGTCGTTTAACCAGTAGAGGGTGACACTCAGCCATCAAAAATATGCCATTGAATAATTCTTTCAAAATGACACATCTAGCTATGAAACAAAGTTTTTTGAGTGAGTTACTGAATCATCTATCGATACTGAACATATATGCAATGTGTTGTACAAAATATGTTATTTATTTTGTTATTATATATTATTTTTATACAATTAGCATTATCAACAACAGAAATGACTATCCTCTTTCACAGTATTGAATATTTAATTATTTATTTTTATTCCGCTGGTTATTTCTTGAATTTATTTTTATTTAAGTTTCAGGTTCTAAGTGCTCAGCATAATTAAGTACACCCCATTTTAAAAATGAATTATTTTATCCATTTCTCAGTGACTGTAGGCAAAACATTTTTGCTCATTTAAACAAAACAAATTTCTTAAACATATTTATTCATTAAAATAATATTTTAGTCAGCAAACATTTAGAAATTAAAAGATATTACAATTAAATTAAAGCAAAATATTGCAAAAAAAATTCTAAATTTTTTCTCTTTTTTATTTGTATTTAATATTTTTCTATAGCATATACTTTTGGGTGAACTAGTTTTTGGGGGTGTTATTGTAAGTTTTTCTGTTAGATAAGCTCCAGATTTGGCTCCAGTACTGACTAATCTAATGTATATGCACAGATATAATAGTGTATAGCTTCTTATTAAAAATATTAATTTAAAAGAGAGATTTGTGAGGGGATTTCTTATATATGCTGGGCATTGTGTGTTTGTTAAAACCAAAAGTTCCAAGCATTAATGTTTTGTAATAAATGGAAAGCAGATTACATTTCTCTCCTCTGCTTTTTGCCGGATCTGAAAAATGGTCCGATCTGTGACTCAAAAACTAGACTACATTACACCTCTACAACTAACCCTAACCATATACTGTACATGTGTTGAGTACTGTACATATATTTAATTAATGTTAAATGTAGTTAAATGAATAGTTACACTAACAAGAAGACCTTAAAATAAAGTGTGAGCAAATGTTTTTGTGATTTTAAGTGTTTATATAAAAAAAGTGAATTAAAACCACGAAAAAACACCTTATGAATACTACTGATGACTTTGAAATGTCTAAAATAGAAAGCATAAAGAAAATAAGTGTTGATTATAAAATATTTTTTTTGTTTTCACGTTCAAAAGTCACTTCTGTGTAAGATTGTGTGAAATATCATTGAAGAAGATGATTTACGGAGGGCTATTTCTGACCACATGTTGCTGCAGGTCTCACACGTCGGCGATTAAACCGTCAGTGATGGTTGCTTTCTTGAGGCCACGAGGTCGTTAATGAGATAATTAACAAGCTGACAGGATGAGGATATAACCTTTCTCTGTTACTGTTTTTCATTCACACAGGGTGAGATCGGCCCCAGGGGTCCGGCCGGAGCTCCAGGCAATGTGAGAACAGTTTATAATTGACATCATAATTTATACAGATGCACAATTTGTGGAATATTTAAGAAATTTTATTTCTTTCGATATGAGAAAGGTATTTGTTGCATCTATTATGCTTTATATCTCAATGTATATATCTTTGAATTCATTCACTATTATTTCTTTAGGTGGCCAATGTGATTCCTGAACCTGGTGAACCGGTAAGTCGGTAGTTTTAATAATATTTTGAGTTTTTGACGAGTTTTTTTGGAGTACATCTATGAACCAAGCATGGTTACACATATTTATGCTGAAATCATGTTACTTGTCTTTTGGATTTGGATGAAGGTGTAACAAAAATACAAGGGTTTTAATAGTTTTTTATTTTGATTTTGTTCAATGTATTAGAGTAAAACACTGACACATGTACAACTATCTTTATGGGGACTTCTCATCGATGTAGTGAGTTTTTGTGGAGTACATTAACCAAGCATGGTTACACATATTTATACTGAAATCATGTTACTTGTCTTTTGGATTTGGATGAACGTGTAACAAAAATACAAGAGTTTTAATTGTGTTTTATTTTGATTTTGTTCAATGAATTATAGTAAAACACACACATGTACAACTATCTTAATGGGGACTTCCCATCGATGTAGTGATTTTTATTACTGTACAGACGGTATATTCTGTCCCCCTAAATTTTTTTAATTCTTCATACTGTGTGAAATCAGCCATTGTTCCTCCATTGGAACCAAAATAAAGCCCTTACAATGTCAAAATTGACTGGTGTCGCTATTGACCTTATTCTTCAATGCGGAAGTGCGCTCATTTTTGTGATCGTTTTAAAACTTCTGATTCAATTGCCAATGGTAGAAATGACTAGGAATAATGAACGACAGAAAATGGTCAAACTACTTGCTCTAAAAACAATTGTGTTCATGACTATACTTACAAAAAGAAGAGTAATATAATAAAGAAATGTAATTTTGCAACATTAACCTGCAAAACAAGCCGTTTTTAATGTCTGAAAATCAACAGAAGTGAATGAGACCTGAACTCTCGAACCAAAAAGATTTCAATGACTGCGTCTGCTCGAATGCGAAGAATTAGGTCAATACATGTGGGAACACGAGGAATTTAAGGTACACACACACAGATTTAGAGGTCAATATAAAACCTTTTCTTGTTCTTTAACATGTATTATATTATATATGTTGTAAAACTTTTTATTATTTTATTTTATATTACATTATATTGTAATATAAAATAAATTATATATATATTTATAAAATAATATTATA